CAGACCACAGATCAATGGAATAGAATTGAGAGCCCAAATATAAAACCATATGAATATGGGCAGATAATTTTTAGTTTAGGTGAAGGAGTCAGAAACACACAATGGAGAAAAGCAAGCCTTTTCAATAAATAGTGCTGGGAAAATTGGAAAGCCACATGCAAAAGAATGAAACTAGATTATAGTCTTACCCCATGTACAAAATGAATCAAAATGGGTCAAAGACCTAAATATAAGATCTTACACAATAAATGACATAGAAGAAAATATAGCTATCAAACGGACGGACCTCGGTTGTAGAGAACATCTTACTTCCCAAAGACAAGGGAAGTAAAGGCAAACACAAATGAATGGGACTATATCAAACTAAAAAGCTTCTGCACAGCAAAAGAAACCGACAACAAAGAGGCAGCTGATGAATGGGTGGTGATATTTGCAAACAATAGCTCCGACAAAGATTAAATACCTAAAACACACAAAGAACTCATAAAACTCAACACTAAACAAACAAACAACCCAATTTAAAAATGGGCAGAGGACCTAAACAGACATCTCTCCCAAGAAGACATACAGGGCAGCCAACAGATATATGAAAATATGTTCAACCTTTTTTCTGCCAAGGGCCACTTGGAAATTTATAACATCATTCACGGGCCATATAAAATGATCAACTTAAATATTATGTTGCTATGAAAAAAGCTCCTAGATTTATTGAATTTCGAGTCCCACCTGAAATTGCATTGGCAGGGCCAGACCAAAAGATATGGTCTGTAGGGCCAGACATTCCCACCCCTGAATTATGGAAATGCAAATCAAAACTAGAATGAGTTACCACCTCATACCTGTTAGAATGGCTATTATCAACAGGGCAAGTAGTAACAAGTGTTGGAGCGGTTGTGGAGAAAAGGGTTTTGCTCATTGCTGGTGGGAATATTAACTGGTACAGTCACTATGGAAAACAGTCCGGTGATTTCCCAAAACATTGAGAATAGAGGTATATATGACTCAGCAATCCTTCTCCTGAGTATAGCTGAAAAGCTTGAAAACATGTATTTCCAATGATAGACACCACTATGTTCATTGCAGCATTATTCACTGTGGCTAAGACATGTGGAGACAACCAAAGTGTCCTTCCATAGAAGACGTGGTACATATAAGCAGTGGAATGCTACTCAACCACAAGGAAGGATGAAATACTGCCATTTGTGACAACATAGATGGACCTTAGAGAATATTATGCTAAGTGAAATAAGTCAGTCGGGAAAAGGTAAGAGCCATATGATTTCACTCATGTGAGGAATATAAAACTGAAACTAGCGGACACAAACAGCAATGTGGTGGTTGCCAGAGGAGGGAAAGGGGTGAGGGTGAAGGGAACCTAGTATATGTTGACGAAAGATGTTTTGATTTTGGGTGGTGGGCATATAGTGGTTTGATTTTGGGTGGTGGGCATACAGATCATGTATCATAGGAATATATACTTGAAACCTATCTGATCCAATAAACTTAATAACAAAAATATTAGCACTGAATATAGGTAACACCATGAACCAACGAATTTAATTTTGTTCCTTTCTAAAAATATAGTCTAATGTTTCCATCTTAAAGAACAAATTTAAGCACATTGAAAAATTAGATATTTGGCCCTATAAGCTAACAAGGCCGGTTTCATAGATGCTGGTAGAAGATACAAAACTCCTGGGTTCAAGTTAAAGACTGTCACTCAGGTGCAACAAGCAGTATGAGCATCAGCTTGTTCTGTGCTGGTTTCCTGAGCTCCAATTCCCACAAGCTTAAGCGAAGAGGGTGAGGTACTGTTTGCCCATGCATCGGGTGTTACAGGAGAGTGGCTCCGAGTTGAGGGAACTCAAATAAGCCTGCTTGCCCTTTGCTCAAGAGAGAGGCACCAGCTCTGTCTTCCAAAGCCCTAAACAAATCTACCCTTTGTTCAGAGGGAAATACTCTAGCTTCCAAGTCTGTTCGCTCTTCAGCCTTGAAAAGGAGTCTGGGAAAAAGACCAGTTGTGCCTGGGAAACACAAGAGATCCAGGGAGAATTGTCTTTCAGTATTGGTGATGGCTGGAACCCCTTTATATAAACAGTACATATGAGACACATTTTCTTCAATTTTGAGAATACTGGCCCCAAATGAATTTAAAAACATTGAAATGGGAACCAAATTATTTGACAGCTGCATTCAGAATGTTTTGGAGAGTCATAACCACATAGTTCTAGGAAGACCTTAAATATATATAATGCATATATAACACACACATATTTATAAAGCTTATTTTTACCTTCCTAATTAAAATGTAAAATTTTAGAATAATGACTGTATATATATGTATATATCATATATATGATATATATGTGTGTGTGTGTGTGTGTGTGTGTGTGTGTGTATTATTTACTTATTCTGATTCCTACATTACTTTGCATTAACTTAATAAAATTATGTAGGTCTGCCCTCCCATTTCTTTTTCCCCCCACATTGCTATGAGAATAACAAAATTGTTCCTGTAATCTGAGGGTTCCCATTGCCATGAAAAATGACAATATTTTCTTATCTTCAAGGTCGTTTACCCATAGGATGTAGGACCATGCCCCGCACCTAGTAGACATCAGTGTATATTTTTGTATTGCATCAACTTGAACTCAGGAGCCCATTCTACACTTTGTCAGCCCAAAGCTGCTCTTGCTCAGTACCCCATGCTGCGCTTTGAAAACAGAGAACGTTTCCTTTTCCTCAAACCTGTAGACAATCATTTCAAGCTTAAAGATTGCTGTTCTTGATGATGGTTCTAGAGTGTAGGCGCACAAAACAAGGTGAAGAATTGGATATGTCCCCAGGAATATTTGTTTTATTAGGAGAAGAAGGGAGTCCAGGAGTGCCTATTTTTTTTTTTCTTCCTCTAAGAACTATCTCCCCCCACCCCCCACCAACCCAGCCCCTGCTCATTCTCATCCTCTTCAATGGGAAGGTAGCAGCCAGACTTTACTGTGGAAATATACTATCCATGCAAGTCCCACCGGAGGCTGACTCATCATCACACACAATGCTTTGGAAAACACTGCGATCTTCTTTTCTAAGTCACACATTTCAACCACGAATGCAGAAAGTACAGGTTTCCGTCCTCTTCCGCAGCCTAATCACCTCCTGCAGGAACGAGCCAACGGGTGCCCACGTGCAGGACCATCTGCCACAGCTGCTCGCCGGCCACTCCAGGGTCCTGCACACAAAGGGGGGGGGAGGGGGCGGGGGAAGGCTGCTGGGGGCCAGGGGAGTGGAGAATAACGGAGCCACGGGCTGGGGAGCGGGGAGCAGGAGCAGGCTGAACTTGGGGATCGGGATAGAAGAAAAACACAAAAATCGCCTCCTCCCCAAAGACTCAGAGAAGCTGGGAGTGCGTGCGCGAAGCCGAGCTGACGTCGCCCGAGCTCGGGGCGGGATGATTAGAGAGGAGTTGGCTGCACCGGGTCCCTCCTGAGCAGCGGCAGCTGGAGCCGCAGCGGCGGCGGCAGCAGCATTAGCGGCCGGAGGAGCGCGCCCGCCGCCCGCCGCCCGCCGCCCGCCGCCCGCCGCCCGCCGCCCGCCCGGGGGCTCCGGACGCACAAAGGCGGCGGCCGCCCACCCGCCCGCCCGCGTGGCCTTCTCCACCCGGCGGCGGCGTTCAGTCCCCGCTCCCCTCCTTCTCTTAGGAAAACCCCAATGGCAGGGCCGGGCGCGGGCCCGGGACAGCGGGGGCCCTGAGCGCTGCACCCCACCTCCTGCCGGGAGGGACCCCGGGGCTCGCGATGTGCCCGCGGCGGCTCCGCTGTGCGTCCTCGGCCCGGGTCCCCGCTCCCGCCCCTCCTCTCGGCCGGATCCATCCCGCCCGGAGGAGCTGATGCTGCCGGAGCCGCGGCCGGGGGCCGGGAGTGCCGCAGTGCCCGGCGTCCCCGCCCGCCCGCCCGCCTCCGGGGCTGCCGAGGAGCCGTCTGCTCTTTCTTCTCTCCTGCTCCGGGGTTCCATAGACAAGGGAGAGGCATTTTGCCGTTATTCTCTACTCCCCTTCTCCACCCTCGCACCCCACCCAGTCTTTGCCATAAGGTACGTTCCCTGGGAGATCCCCCAGCCCCCCGCGGCAGGCAAGCCCGTGGACCTAAAGGGCCGGGGAAAGAGGCAGAAGTTGGGGGTGGGGGTGGGGAGAGCCCCGCTGGGGCCAGCGCCACCCCAAACCCTTCTGGTGCCTGATGAGATCACGGGTGGATTGGAGAGGGGCGGAGGGAGGGAAGGTGAGCCATCTGCAGAGTCTCCACCTATTGGGATCTTAAGCATCATTTAAAATAAAACCCCACAAATATATCTTTAAAAAAAAATAGATTCGTTGGAAAGCAGAAAGGGAAATAAGCCCCCTTTCCCCTTTCTCTTTCTGTTTTTTTTTTCTTTTTTTTTTTTTTCTTTTCTTTCTTTCTGGTAAAGACGCTCTTCCCCGCTGCCCGGAGCTCAGCACTGAAGAGCCAGCTCATTCTTCATCAGGATCCCCGCCGCTATCCGTTATCCCTGGCTGGAGCATCCTTCCGGAGGCAGCAGGGACCGCAGGAGCATCCTAGGGCTGAGGCTGGGATGCGCGTGGGGGCTGCTGTGGTCACATCTTGGGAGAGCAGAGGACAGCACCAAGACCTGCTGCCGCCCGTGCTGGTGTGATTAGGGGAAATGAGCTTATTTCTTTGGTGACAGAAAGGACAAGAAGAGGAGTGGGGTCCACATCTCTTTGCAGGAAAGGGAAGAGGGAACCCAAGTGGAGGCGCCTTTATAAGAAGTTTATATCCTTCATTGAAAAGCTGTGGGAAGGCGGGAGCAACAGGGTACTTGATTGGACCCCGGAGACAAACCATTTCCTGTGAAGAAGAGGAAGCAGGCGGCTTCCAGGGCTGGAGGCCAGGGGGTGCTGGAGGCCAGGCCAGGTGTGCTGTGGGACAGTCTCCGCCAGAGACAGGGGAGGCCCCGGACCAGCAGAAACCATGACTCACTTACAAGCCGGGCTGTCCCCGGAGACCCTGGAGAAAGCTCGCCTGGAGCTCAATGAGAATCCCGACACCCTGCACCAGGACATCCAGGAGGTGAGGGACATGGTCATCACCAGGCCGGACATCGGCTTTCTGCGCACGGACGACGCCTTCATCCTACGCTTCTTGCGGGCCAGGAAGTTCCATCACTTCGAGGCCTTCCGCCTCCTGGCCCAGTACTTTGAGTACCGGCAGCAGAACCTGGACATGTTCAAAAGCTTCAAGGCCACGGACCCTGGCATCAAGCAGGCGCTGAAGGATGGCTTCCCCGGGGGCCTGGCCAACCTGGACCACTATGGCAGGAAGATTCTGGTCCTTTTTGCTGCCAACTGGGATCAGAGCAGGTAAATCCTAAGTTCTGACTCCTATGAGGGGACGCTTTTATTCTCCCATTTTCCAGAATTTACCCTGAGTAGCCATAGCTCGACAGCTTTCATGCTTTTGTTTATTTGGTTGGGGGGAAAAGGAGAAAATGGAACTAAACAAATAAGTTTTTGGTGGGCACTCCTGGGATGCGGGAGGGGCTTGTTTGAAGTCTTTGTAATTCTTACTTCTCTAGCACCCAGCTTCTACTGCAGCTTGAAGTGCTTCCTGCACCTTATTATGATGCTGCAGTCAAAATAATGTAACTTCTCAATAAATGTGCTATTTTTTTTCACCTCCTAAATAAGTTCACTGATCTCTGGAGAAATTAGTGTGAGGACAGAGACAACTTTTTCTCCTTCCTTCTGAATAAATTCTTAAACTAGACTCATCATCATCATTATCATGTTCACCATCATCTTCATTATCATCATCATCAACATCATCATCATCTTCTCTGTGACTAGTACATTATCTTTTAAGGGCAGCCTAGCATTCAACCGAGACCAGGTAGTTTTATTGCTTGGGAACTTTTCTGCTTAATGATGTGCAGATGAAGGACTGATATGATGTGTGTCACTTCAGTGAAAAGGCAGAGTTGTATCCTCCGGCACTGAAATCAAGGGTGGCTGTTGTGGTGCTCCACACCTGTCACTAATCTAAAGAAGATGTTTCCCATCTGATGTGATTTTTCATCTCTTGGAAGGAAGAGGAAATGTTTAGATATGTCAGTTGGTAGACTTTTTGAGCTCTCTTGCTTTTTAATGGAGGAGAAATATGTTTATTGTATCTACAGGTGATAGAAAAAGGGAGAGAGTGACTCCTCTACTTCCTCATTCAGAACTATTTCCTCAGACTAACAGAGATAAGAAATGATAAACACTCCCGTATAAGGTAGTTTCAATTAAGTTTAAACTTAAATGTATTTCATGGAACTTAAACATGTTATCAGAACCATGAATCATAAGAAGCTGGTTGTTAAAATATTGGTGTGTTTTTTTAGTTCTGAATGGGGACTTTTGATGCATCATGTTAGTTTAAACCATCTCTGGTTTAATTGTCAAAGACTTTTTTTTTTTCAGTTATGAGAAATCTTATAGATTTCTTTCAGAGTCTTGGAATCTTAGAATGTAAATGAATAATTTTAACAGGTTTTTACCCTTTAGTTGGTTAGCTTTTCTCTGTAATTCTAGGTTGAGAACTACTCCAATCATTTTTTTAGACAAATATAAAGACAAACTACTACCTGAGGAATCTTAAAATCATAAAACTAAGAAACTAATAAACAGAATTAGCCATTGAGGGGAATGGAGTCCTGTTACATACTTTGGTTAGTTACAGAGATCCTATTTTACTTTGTATTGGTAGCAAAGTGTAAAGGACCATGAAATGCCACAATTTTTCTTTAACTTTTTTTTTTAAATTTGATAAGTACATTGTAGGGTCATGCAAACCAGTGATTGTGTATATCAAAATAGAAAACTTTTATTTAAGAAAGAACCTACTATTCCATTTGTCAATTAATTAGAACTTTGTTTATTAAGCTACAGTTAAATTAGGAATTGTGGAAATTTTATGCTTAAATATGTTTTAAAGTCTAAAAGATATTAGGCAGTTCACATATAGGGAAACATGAATTTATTTATTATTATTCAATGTATATTAATTTTTATTTTTATTGACTTTATTGGGGTTATACTGGTAAATAAAACTATAAAGGTTTCCCATGTACAACTCAGTAAAAGATCTGCATCCTACATTATGCATTCACTGACCAAAGTAAAGTCTCTTTCCATCCCCATTTATCCTCTCCTTTACCCACTTCCACCTTTTTTTCACCCTGCCTCCCAGTCCCCCTTCTCTCTGACAGCTGTTGGTCTGTTCTATGTATCTATCCTTCTGTTTCTATTTTGTTTATTAAGTTATTTGTTCATTAGATTCCACAGATAAATGAGGTCATGTAGTATCTGACTTTCTCTGACTGGCTTATTTCAATTAGCATGAGACATGCATTTACATTAGATCCATTTTAATTTATATCTATAAGTGAACTAATATGCACACTGATTTATTATAAACCTAATTAACATGAACATCGCTTAATAGTTCTCATCTATATGGGAAGTTGATTATTCCAGATTACTAAAGAGACTATGTTTTTGTTGTCTATTTAATACTTTTCTATAAAGGATAGGTTATTAGCAATCAAAAATCTATCTCCCTGGAAATCAGCAATAGGAGATTTGTTAATTGGTATATAGAGCTATTTTTTAAATTAAATGTACATAAAAACTCTATTAAAAATTTGTACATGTGAAATTAAAAATGAGAAGCTGGGTCCTATAAAAATACCCTATCAGGTTCTAAACTAATAATTGTGACTTCTGCTTCTATGGATGTACATGAGTAGACAAAAACATGAAGTTATAGTGCATCAAAGTCAAAAGGTATACAAATTATTTAGAGCTTCACTGAAATTCAGTTGAGTTTCCTCATCCTACATTGTAAAAAAAAAAAGTTATTCCTCTCTTCTCCCTGCCTGCCCTCCTTCCCAAACCTACATGCACCCAATAACAAAAACTAGTGGATAAATAGGTCCATTGTCTTGGCATCCTCTGTAAACCACTGTCATTGGTACATGTGTATAGCAACTGCCCAGAAACTCGCAGGACAGCTGCCTCTCTGGCAATACCAGCGCAATACCAGCCCTCCTCTTACCTTAGGCCTGACCCCCCTTTCTTTGCTGCAGCCATAAGTCTTACCCAACTTGGCTCGCTCCTATGGAAATTTCTATCACCTTTCTAGATATTTACCTCACTGTAGCTGTGTTAGGTGGAAGGCCATGTGCCAAATCCTCATCACCCCCCACCCTGTTCCATGAGTCTGGTGTTCTCACCTTTCCACTCTGATTCTGTAGCCCAAACTACTTGGGTCTCTTGAGAAGATTGACTGTTCATTTGAACACAACTCGGACCACCTTCCTTGAGTTGATCAGAGATATACCTGGCTTTCAACACCTTACACAGAGGATAGCATTGTTTTAAAGAAACAGGAGGGGGGAATGTCTACAATTACAGAGGGAAATTCCAGAAACCAGTTAGAAATAATGCTACCCTTTATTTGGAAAACAGGTTATGTTCAACTTCCCAAAGGGAAACAGAAGATTTTTAAAATGTTTCCAAGAGCTTTGTAAAGACCTCTGAAATAATTAATTTGTGTATAAAAAAGACTAAGCCTTATGTTATTATTTTTATAAGAGCACTTGACTTAGAGTTAATGCTTAATACATATTTGTTTAGTTGAATTTGGTTATACATTGAAAAATTAATTCTAAATAGAAAGTTACCTAATACAAACCTTCTCCTATATTAAATTTGTAGGACAGTTTTCTGTGCTTCTCAGAAGACTGGAAATAGTAACTGTGTGTGAGATGATGACTATAAATAAAACAGTGTCTCTTCCTACTGCAATATAATGCAGGTCAGTTTCAGCATATTGATTTGGGCCATTTCCAAAGCCTTTATAAGAGACATGAGATTTTCAGGAAGGCCAAGGTAAAATAATATTTACAGTGTACCCACTTTCTAATAAATCTTAAAAAAATGAAATACTGAAATGTCAAAGTGACTTTCAGTTTGATTTGTGGTTCTTTTGAAAAAGAACAGAACAGGTTGAGATGACTTATTACATTTATTGAGCAGGATGTCCTTGGAAAATACTCGTAAAACGTAGCCTCCTTTCTTTCAGATCATCTAACATAATTTCTGAAAGTGAGAGTAAATTCTGCACATTTAAAGACAATTGAATTATTTCACTGCATCACTAGGATGTAGTAGCCCTCCATATATTACATTCTGTATGTCTTTCATGAGTGATAGTGCCCTGCTTAGGACTCAGCAAATCCTTCAAATTTCCACCTGACTTCAACAACAGAATGTGAGGATGATGTACCCTGAAGTTAGAAGAGATTGCAAAGGAAGCTAGAAAACAAAGTTTGGAATAAAACTAGGTCATGATCTACACATTAGGATGGTGGTCGGCAAACTCATTAGTCAACAGAGCCGAATATCAACAGTACAACAATTGAAATTGCTTTTGAGAGCCAAATTTTTTAAACTTAAACTTCTTCTAATGCCACTTCTTCAAAATAGACTTGCCCAGGCCATGGTATTTTATGGAAGACCCACACTCAAGGGGCCAAAGAGCCGCATGTGGCTCTCGAGCCGCATGTGGCTCTCGAGCCGCAGTTTGCCGACTACTGCCCTAGGACATGAGAGCAAGTATCTGAGGAGTCATATGTACGTACTGGGAATATTCATGAGTAAATTGTGTCACCTGAAATATAATGATGACACATATTCTGATAGTTGAGCTGTAATTTTCAGCCTTCAAGTTGTACTTTACCTCATTACTGACAAAAGAAGTTCTCTATACTTTAGTGCTGCAAACAGTGATTTATTTGGAATCTGGTTAATAATGGCAAGAAAACCATTAAGTACGGTTAAATGAAAATAATTCTTAACATAGTGGCAATTCAGAGAGCTCTGACCATCTTGCACTCTGTTTGGCTTGTCATAATGAATATTGATCATCGCTTAGAGTATTGAAGCTCTGGAAGGGGTAGAAGCCTGACTGGTCAGACCTGCTATGATCCTGAAACTTATCCAGGAATTTGCCTAAACGCTGTATTATTGTCAGTTTGTTTAGTTTGTGTGGCTTTTCATAAAAAAAATTACAAATGGCTAGCTATTTACAGCTTCAGATTGAATTATGATTATTCTTCCATTTATTAAAATAATATGACCAACCTCCAAGTTGAAAGATTTATGATGACAATGGATTAAAATTTAAAAAGTAACTATAGATGACACAGATAACTTTTTGGCTTGATTTTTCAACACCTCAACTCAACTGTGTTAAAATATTAAAATATTTCTCTCCTTTGGCTTCACGGCATCATAGATCATGGACAGGGTCAGGA